CGCCAGAAAATCATTGTTTCAGTTTTTTACCGTTTTTATGATTTATTACCTAATTCCCATTTTTTTAAAGATTTTTTGTGTATTTTTTGCAAAAGTAACAACATTTAGAGAATGACTCTAGTTTTTATTGAATTATTTAATTTAAAAATAACCATACATACAGTAATGGAAAAAAACCTGTTGTGACTGGGAAAGATCTATATTTTCGCTATAATAAAATTATTTTTATAGAATTTGTCATTTAAAATTGCAGAATTATTTTTGTAATTTTTTTTATTAACCAATCAAATAAAAGCAATAAATCGAATATTTTACTATATCTTATAGGTATATACCATTAATTTACTATAATTTTAGGTTTTCACGACAGGTTTTTTCCATTACTGTATATATAATATATAGTATTATTTTAATAAAAATAATAATTAATATTATTAAATAATAACTTTTGTACAATTAAAAACGGGACCTACATTGACCACCACCACCACCTCTTAAAATAGATTTATTTTTTCTATTTCGAATAATATTTTAATTAAAATTATAGTAAATAGGAAACTGGGAAGATATTATGTCTGGTTCCCGAAATCAAGAAATGCCGAAAATTCACCTCGAGTTAGTGAAACCAAGTGAGACGGAGCATTGAAAAGAAGGCTCTAAAAACCGCACTCAAACAGTTTGTTTGTGCACCGTTTCACCTACTTTCCAAGTCCTCCCTTGGCGCGGATCCCCCTGAACCCCCCCGCAAGCGGGGGAACCACATCCGCGTCCACACAGTACGGACAAGGAAAGTGGGTGACATGGGGACGCACAAACAGTGGCTGAAAAGTGGACTTCCTTTAAAAAACACTTGCGGCAAATATTTATTTTGGTAAAGGTGGTGGTAATTGTTAATGTAGGTTTTCAATACTTACAAATAATTTTGAAATTTCTGCATTTTTGGGAATTATATTATAAAATAATGAACAAATATCTAACATTGATTAAAATAAATTTTTAGTGATTTTTGTTAATAACATTTACTTCATTTTACTTCATTTTTTCTCTGTTGTTGGAGAACTTTTACTTCCTGTTGCCAAAACACCGCTTTGACTAACAGAAGGTGATTTTGATATTTGGAGTGTTTTCTCAGCTTTAATTCTTTTCAAAAGTTCTACTAAATGATGTCTTCCTTTGACAAACGCATCATCTTTGTTCATTTGAAGCAAAGTAGCCATTTTATTGACGAGTTCTAAAAGATGTTCGATGCAATCATCATTAAACAACAACACTTTCATTATATTTTTCAACATTTCTTTATTTCCAAAATATCTTTTTTTAACATTTTCAACATTTCTTGAAACATAAAAAAGGTAATTTCCAAACCCAGCTTTCAAATTTTGAAGATTAAAGTAGTTGGCCATGTTAGTCATCCAATCTTCCATCATTTCTTTATTAATATGATTTCTCTTCTCTACAATTATCAACAAATGTCTCAAGTCGTCAATTTGCATTTCCATTATACCTGCCGAAGCCCAAAATTGTGATGAAAAAAGGTTTTGGTTTTGGAATGAGAATGATTTAAGCGATTTAAGGTTTTTAATCATCTCTTCCAAACACTCCATAGTTTCTTTTATTACTTTCATTAAATCTTTTGGTATCTCGATGTCTTTCTTCTTTTCCAATTCCAACTTTGTTGGAGCTGCCTTTTCTTTTTGCTCTTTTTCTTGGCCACTTTGTTTACTCGGTTTAAACTCTTTAGCTATTTTTGATGCTTGTGAACTTGTCGTTGGTTCTGATAAACTTCTTCTTAAACTTTCTTTGTGACGCTCTTTTTCAAGTAATTCACCAGTTGAACTACTTCTCATCAAAAGATGTCTTTTTTCATTTGGATCTTCTATCTTTTCTGGTTGTTGCACCTTTGGAATTAAATTTTCTTCTCGTTGTTGTGTTTGTGATCTTTCAACACCTGGATATCGTCTTAACGTCTCTGCCAAAGCGATAACCAAATTTTGTGCTTTGAGAAAGTGTGGACTTTTCAATAAGCCAATAAAAGATGACAACTTAAGCAACAATTCGTGACGATAAAGAAACACCTTGAAATCAAACATAAGGTACAAATTGAGTCGACTTTTCATTCTGGTGTCTATTTTTGTTGTTTTTGCAATTGACTCCATGTTACTTTTTAGTAAAAGGATGTATTTTCCATAACCATTATGAACATCATGTAAATTATAAGTCTTTGAAAGTAACAGACAAATTTGTTCAAATTCTTTTTTTGTTGTATGTTTTGTATTCAACATTTTTTCAAGTATTTTAACAATTTGGTCTTCCAGTGTTTGCATTTCGTCGACTACTTTGGTCATTCCCTCTCCATATAAATGTAAATATCCAACCGTGTCACTACGAAGACCCCTTAAATGTTTGATTAATTCATACGATTCACGAAGATGTTTATGTATAATCGTGATAAGATTTTCAGGTAGTTCAATGTTTTCTTCTGGACCAGCATTATTTGGGTTAACCGCACATGAAACAAATATAAATATATATAAAAATATCATTTAATACACTTTGTAGTTGAAAAAAAAATAAATATGAAATTGCCTATGCAATGTGATTATCTTAAAGATGGAGTACTTGTTGGATACCAAGTCAATACCAAACATAAATCATAAAAACAAAATTTCATGTTTAATTGCACTTTGTTTAATTTTTATATTATTATTCATTTTAAAATTAAATTCCAGACATGTACTATTATTTAAAAATCAAATTATAACTTCCATTTTTAAAAATGGTTAAAAATATTGTTGATAATTGAATACTTCAAAAACAATAAGAGTCAATAATCAGCATTGGCTAACCATGTAAAACCAACATGAATTATTTGATTTTATATTAAAATATTTTTATTATACATGTATTGTAGATCACAAGTCCTTATTGATAT